CTCCTCCCAGTTTGGTATCATCAGCAAACTTGCTGAGGGAGCACTCTGTGCCTTCATCCAGGTCATTGATGAATAAATTGAACAGGACTGGACCAAGGACTGACCCCTGGGGGACCCCGCTAGCTACAGGCCTCCAACTAGACTTGGCACTGCTGATCACCACTCTCTGAGCTCTGCCATCCAGCCAGTTCCTCATCCACTTCACTGTCCACTCATCTATCCCACACTTCTGGAGCTTGCCCAGGAGAAATAAGAAACATAATACAGCATATATAGCAATATAACATAGCAATATATAATACATAGCAATATACCATAATATAATATAATATGTTCCAATAAGAAACATAACATAGCACAAAAGTTTTGATTTTTTTTTTACGTTTACACTTTAAAACATGGCTGAAGTGGGAATCAGAAAATGAAAGAGTCCCATTTCTCTTGAAAACCAGGCTCAAAAATACTAAAGTCATGTAGCAGAAATATGCCATTTAAAATTCATCTCTCAATGAAATATTTTTTGCATGATCTCACAAGAAAGTACACATATTAAAATATTAATCTTTGTGATTAACCTTACTCAGCTGAGCAGTAGTGGAAAGACTGCTCACCTGAGTAAAGTTACTCACTTGCTTTTGGGATTGTGTCCTTCCGTAGATATAAAAACAGTTTTGCAGTATATATGTCTTTTAAAACAAAACTTATCATAGACATATCACAGAATTTGCAACTGTTGGCATTTTACTGCATATGTTTGCTAAAAGTATGGACTATCTGAATTATTAAACACATGAAAGACAAGAAACTAAAACATTAGTGTGGTCAAGAAAGCATAACTGCACTTCTTTCCTTACCACCAGCAGGCCAAGAAATTTCAGAGGACCCATTTGTGACCCTAGGGCTTCTACAATGCAGTGCTAAATAAAACACTCTCAAAATTCATGAGCCCCTAAAAGGGAAGGCATACAACACAGTTTCTGCTAAGTGACTTGGAATAAAGATGGGAGCCCCATAGGATGAAAAGCTCGCATCAGTAAAGTGAAAGCAGTGTTGCTAGCTAAAACAGGGCTGCTGGAGCACCGGTGTTGTGATCAATGGTCACACAGTATTTTCCAACACAGTCCTTGGTGTTACACAAGAAAAACACATCCACAAGCTACTTGTTTATTTAAAAAAGCTCGGTGAAGTTAATGACCTGTCTGTGATTACAGCCCAAAAGGAAACCGTCACTACCTGAAACCCTTCTAAAAGGGAGCAAGTGAGGGAGACGATGCAAGGATGCTGACAAAACATCATTAAAAATGGTCTACTCTGGTAACACAGTGCTAGGGAGAAAATTCAAGGCTGCATGAGCATACTGTTGCACAGAGACTGCCTCACAACTTGTACACAACCCTCTCCTCAGAGATGTACATAAAGCCCATGTTTTTGGTACAAGAAGGAGGGGGGTGCTAGCCAGCAAGGCTGTACTCGTGTGACTTAGATGACCTCAAAGATTTTTTCAAAGTGTTCAACTGTGCATTTCATTACAGAGCTGCAGGTCACTCTGTGAATTTGCAGGGCATGTCAAACTAATATAAGCAGCAGGGATTCCCCACTTTCTTTTCATATTAAAGCTCCTACTCAAGAGATTTTTGCAGCCTAGTTCACACACAGAAGAAAGCTTAACTTTCTTCTCAGTGACAGCCAAGTCAAGAGGAATTATTACAACAGCTCAGATAACCTTTTGGCAGCCACATCATGTGACAGCCCCAAAAGTAGCTTCAAAGCTGCCAACCCAACTGCTTCTCTTTTGTCCTGCCAAGAACAAAATGCTGGGTTTAGAAGAGCTTGTGCTAGCTGTAATCTGGCTTCTGTGATTGCATCCAAAGAAATGGCAGGAGGAATAGTAAAATGCAAGAAACAGTGACTAGCAAATATTTTCCATAGGATGTACTTCTAGATTTCTTAAAAGCATGGAACATATTTTTAATTTCATGGGTCACAGTGGTATTTTTCTTTTCTTGTCAGCCCCTATTCTGTTAAGATATTCTGGTTGATCCTATCTTTCTTTCTGTATTGTTCAGCTGATAGGCACTTCAGTGTGTATCTTAGTTTCACCATCACATTACGCTGCAAATAATGCAAACTGACCTAATAGGGAGGGAATTTTGTTAACTTTTCTTTGTGTTTGTCATGCTGGATTAAGGACACAAGTATTGTTATTAGACTTCTGAAGAAAAACAAGAAATATAGTTCTGTGATATGACCCCAAGCAAGCAAGGATCTATTTGCTTGCCCTCAAATTTTCTTTCTGAATTGTAATGTATTCAGATCCTAAAATAAGTCTTTGGGTTGCCTGCAGGTTGGAGGGATAAAACTTAGAACTGTCATGCTAACATGGTATCAGCAGAAAAATATGCCAGTTTGGCAGTAATTGACAAGTCCAAGTTTATTCTTTCTACCATGGAGAACCAAATCCCCAAACTTTTTCTTCTGGAAGAATATAGATGTTTTCAGATTTTTCTCCCTTGGTGGCTTTGGAGACATAACTCAACCTCTCTACTGTATTTTCCTTAAAGATAAAAAAAAAAGGCTAGTGATACTTAATCCGTGGCTGCAATGAATACTGGCTGGAAGGAAGGTTTTCTTTATTAGAATGAGAATGGTGTGTAAAAAGCAAAGAAAATGGGGTTCTGATTTAGCTGTAGACTTCTGTGTGACCTTCAGCATCAGCTTTCTACTTGTAATACTAATACTGAACTTCTAACACACGAGCAACTTCTCAGAAAATTACTAGATATAAAAGATAAATCATTTTTTTCCTTCAATATTAAAAGAATGTGGATTATTGTTTGTTGTACTGGGTTCCTTATGATGTTAGGGATAATTAAATATGGCATTTTACACTTATTGATCTCATTTTCATAGCTACCTGATGAGGGAACCTTCACTTTACACTTTAAAACATCATTATACCATATCTTTAAACAAAATATTCTATCATATAAAAAAAAAAACAAAAAACAATCACTTTGCTAAGACACTTTAGGATGAAAAATGCATTTATGTCTTTCAGCAAAATAGTCTCTTAGTATCTCTTGCTTGGCACATCAAGTGGATCTTAGTCCTTCCAACATTACTACTCAGAACTTTCAGCTCAGTTAATTCAAGGCTGTCAGCAAATTGTATCATGAAGAGCAAGTGTCAGCTGCAAAGTCAAGGTAAGGCTGGCTTAACCTCTCCTGATTTCAGCAATCCAGAATTTTCTCTTTACTCACTGCTTGGCCAGGAGCACCATTCAGAAGAATTTACCCATATTTTATTTACTGCTACTCCACTGGCAACTTCTGTAACAAAGACACCCTCACTAAATCATCTTCAATGAATGTCTGAAACATCAGTTTCACTTGCCAAGGGTGCTTTGAGCATTTATCCTTCCTCTACGTAAGAGAAGCAATCAGCTGTAAGCATCGTGCTGACCAGCCAATACTCTGCACATTATTATTATTAATAATAACCAGCTATTATTATTAAGCCTGATGCTGCATTGCCATTCTCCACAATGTGGACCTAGAATTTAACTTTCCTTGAGAGATGTAGTGAAGGACAGATTTTTGGTCAGTGACAGAACAAATGTAATCTAGAGAAAGGATTACATACTAGCTTCCTTTTTCTTTTTTTTTTCTTTTTTTTATTCCCTCACATTTCTACACTTAATATAGAGATTTAAAATGTAGTATTTCATAGCAAACACTAAAAGCAAACAAACAAAACCAATACTGGCAATGAAAAGGTATATCCATTCTCCTACCAGTTTGCTATACTCCTCCATTTAGGTCAAAACATTTCATAACTTAAAATCTTAAGGAGTTCCTATCTTTTGTTTTCTTCTTGTCAGGATGAGTTTGAAAGTAAAAAATGTTTCCCAATGGTGTGATAACTGTATGAGATAGCTATTACAACAGCTGCTGGCATATCCTAAGTCTTTTGTCTTTTAAAAACTAGTGTCCAAGCCTAGCATGAGTTGATAAATACTCCTTATTTTATCCTCTGCCTGAATACACGTTGAATACATCGTTCCTCTGTGCAGGTTCCTTTACAGTGAACTGAAGCCATGTCATCAACTCATTTATGGACAAAATAGTAAGAAACTACTTACTGAGACAGAGCTTGTGACTGACTCCCAGTTGGTTTCTGAGGCTGCATGCTGGAAATCATCCTAAGAGAAAAAAAAAAAAAAAACACAGGAAAAACCACCATTAAGGCAACATCCTAAATTAAATATAGAACCTAAAAAAATGTCTACGATTCTACATATTTCACTTTTTTATAAACTTCTTCCATAAAAGCAGCCCTTGCCATGTGCCATTATTTATTCTTTTCATAGAATAATGTTAGTCTTTATTTTCCTCCCTTTTCACTCTTTATAAACTAGGTCGTTGCAGGCTTGTTGGGGCAAGGATGGTGTTACTAGTATTTTTAATTAGCTGTACAGTACTTTGCATAACATTACATTTATCTTCTGACACCAGAATTAAACACCACCTCTGTATGTCTACAACAACTGTGAAGTTACCAAGTTGGCTCACTCTAGACACAATGTAGGCATACTGATAGCCCAGGACTACTTAGCCACAGTGAGAAAGAGGCTAATCTAATCCATTTGAAATGTAGTTCTACCATGACTGTGCTGTTTATAGTGTTTGTGCCGTATTGAACTCGCTCATCTGTGCAGAGTACTGGATGGTGCCATCTCCTTTGTGCCAAGACAGCAACAATACATTTGTGTTAGGTGTCTGAGAATCACATGCACTCACACCCAGCATTTATCACTAATTTCATAGAATCACAGAACAGCTGGGGTTGCAGGGGACCATGGAAATCATCTGGTCCAACAACCATTTCAAGCATGGCACCTACAGCATGTTTCTCAGGACCATGTCCACTTGGGCTGTGAGTAGCTCCAAGGATGGACACCACTTCTTTAGGCAGCCCGTTTTAGTGTTGAACACTTACCCTGAAAAAATGTTCTCTTATGGTCAAACGAAATCTCTTGTGCTTCAGTTTGTGCCCACTGCTTCTCATTCTGTCACCAAGCACCACTAAGGAACATCTGTCCCCATACTCTTTACACCATTCCATCAGATATTTATGTATAATTGTAAGGTCTCCCACAAAAGCCTTCTCTTCTCCAGGCTGAACTTCCTCATCTCTCTCAGCCTTTCCTCAAATGGGAGTTGCTTTCGTCCTTTAATCACTTTGTGGCTCTTCACTGGACTTACACCAGTAAATCTATGTCTTTCTCATGCTGGGGATCCCAGCACTGGGCACATCACTCCAGATGTGGCCTCAGCAGTGCTGAGTAGAGAGGTAGGATCACCTCCCGTGCCCAGATGATGATGTTCTTTAAATAATGGGATAGGATTCATCTCATCTACTTTTAGATATTTACAAAAAAGACATCTAATCTAGTCAGTCTAGTTTCCTTTTACAGTTAACTGAAACCAGTATATTTAGAGGTGAATTTATTTAAGCAGTTTAGAGGCCTAATTTTGGTGAATTGCACCCAAAAAATGCATTTTTCCTTTTCACTGGTTATAAAGGCAGCCTGGAGTGACAAGCTTATATACAGACATTGAAATTGTAAATATTGACAGTTGGTCAGCTGAATCAAAGGCTACTTCCCTTTAAGTAGTGAGCAATCATTATTTAAATAATAAATGAAAGGGTTGGGTTTTTTTTTTCCAGTTTTGCTGATTTCCAACTGGAACAATTAAACTACAAAAAATAAAAACAAACGAACAAAAAGGCAGCATTACAGAATGATCAACATGAGCAGGCAGGTCAAAAAGCTGGATGGGAGAAACAACATATCAAGATTTTCATTTCTTATCACCAAATTTCATAATTAAAATATTTAAAGACGGGGCTTCATGCCTGGGCTCATCATTTTACGCTGAGTAAGTATCTGGTGTGATTTTTTAAGCTGTCGATCTAAAAGGAAAAATGGAAGGTTAGCTGCTTATCTGATGCTTTTTGGAGTCGGTACTGTGTTGGATTGTATGTATAAGCACATCTTCAAACACTTCTTACTAATGCAAATGATAAAACTGATTGCATAATCTGCTAGTCTATCAACAAATAGTCAAGAACAAACAGCTGGTTTCAAATTTAAACTTCATTTAAATGGTTACTGCAAATTCTTAATTTCCTATAGATAACTATATAAATCTCCTAAAAGTCACAAGATTGTTTATTCAATCTTATTTCTACTTCTTCTTCCTTAAAATGCTACTTTTCCTCAAACTTGAGATATTAAAGCTTTACTGATTTCTTTAGTATTTGTGGTAAGCTGAAGTTAGCCCATCAAACTACAGTGTCACTAACTGAGAACAAAACTGCACAGCTATTAAACTGTTATTAGAATGATCATTTTCTTCTAAGAATAAAGACACAAAATGTTATCAGCTGCCTACTGTGGCCCCATTCTCTGTAAATTTCTTTGCCCAATTCTACATAAGCCACACTTTAAAGCACGTACAAATGGATTTAAAATGCTCATGGATGAGCTGGAAACAGTTCCCAGTCACAAAACTTGTAAATAATTTTCTTTCATTAACTCCCATTTAGCACTTCCAGAAAAAAAAAATGGCATTGAGTTCTAAAGCATTATTTTAAAACAGAGACAATCTACCTCATTGAATGTCTGGAGAAGACTGCAGACAGGAATAATTCTGTATTTGAAGTGACGGTCCCCTTGTGTTATCTAATTGTAGACATCAAAACTCGTTCTTTAGTCTATGATTCTTCGAGATGCCTGATGCCAGGGAATCACTCCAAAACCCTGAGATAGATATGTGTACCACCTGCTTCTTGGATCTCAAACCTGATGACTGCACATTTTGACTCTGTGATTATATTTCATCTGCATAAACTATTCATGACTAGATGGCTTTGTTCCACCATCACTTAAGGCAGCTGCAATCATTCTTGGCTTCTCAGAGCTTTCAACCTCTACAGTTTGAAGATTATTATTATCTATGGCTTCTGCTCGCAGCTATTTCAGGTAATGATATCAAAGTGGTTCTCATAATTTCAAATCCTTCAAATCCTTCTTCTTCTTTCTCACCATTGTCCCTAACAGAAACTGAAGGACAAATCTATTATCTACAGTATTATCTAGTGATTTTATACTACCTTGCTTATGTAGACTTGCACATGACCACATCTATTGTTTTCTTCATTACTTAAAATGGCATTAAAACATTGAGTTAAAACACAAGCATTTTACATTCTTTTCAGCTGTGGACTAGACAAATAGAGTGGCAATAATTTGGCTACATCATTCTGACAATAGTGCTTTTATTTTTGTATGAGTGTCATGCTAACAATACCTTACTTGAGACTTCAGCAAAGTATCGCTTTAGCAGCAACAATACAAGTAAAGTCACAGGGCTACCAATCATCTTCCAATAGCTGCTATTTTTACTGAGAAAAAACTATTTCCATATCTCAACTTTCAAAATTACAGCTCAGTGAGACAAACTCTGAATCATTCCTCCGGGTTAAATATGTATGGGCATTGATGTATTGTTGGTGGCTCTTTTTCAGACAAAGATAAGCTATTCTTTCCTTCACGGACTGACTTTGCCCACCTCCTCTCTCTGGCCAATGACATCAGATAAGCAAGAAGGAGTCATGGGGAATACTCTTTGTTTCACCAAGGGCTTTCACAAGTGGAGATCATAATGCAGAATCTCTGCTCTCAAGGATATATGAAACTTGAAAAATAGAGATCGAGCTGGCTGAAGAGGTAGATGGTTTACAGCCCACATCTCCACAACCTGTAGCAACACCATCTCTGCCAGAACTAAGCCACAACGTGGTTTGGCAGTGTCAATGGGAACAGGGAGAACAGCTGGTACTGGAGTTGTTGGGGAGACATCAGGGATGAAGCTGGGATCTCCAGGTTGAGAAAAACACCCATGACTCACTCGACTGTAACATGAATCCAGAAAAGTATACGAATCCCTCTAAGCCAAGCTGAAATAGTGCCTGGTCCTCAAGTTAAGAACAAGAAACACTTTCTAACAATTCTGTGATTCCTGCTTTTTTGCACATTCTTGTCCATTTTTTGTCATCTCTGTGCTTGACATGTACCAGGTCCAATGCCTGGGATAGACAGGAATTGCCACAGGGAAGATACCATGAGTGAAAAAAAGCCCTACGCACTGCATATGCTTCTCTGAACTCCTCCTAACCCACGGGTCCTAGAGGCAACAGCATTAGGTTAAGTAAAAATGATCTGCTAAAACAACTATAAACTATAGCTAATAAAAGCTGAGGTGATGTTCTCATCTTGAAGATTAGGTAAGGTTCACAAAGGAGCTGTGATCAGAAAGAGCTCAGAGAGCACCCTAGGCTGATGGACACGGCCTGCCTGTTTAATAACATCCTCTCCTGAAGGAGCTGCCTTCTCCACAGGACATTATAATGGGAGCAGAAAAGAAATGCATCTCTCACTAGAACATAGGTTTTAAAGACTAGGACAACAGAAGACCTGTACAATAATTTGTATCTTGAAGAAAAGGAGATGAGATTATCCTAACATTTAAATTAATAAAACTCACAAGCATTTTTGAACAACAATGAACATGAATCTATTGCATTGCGAGCAAGGCTAGGAAAATCACCTCTCTGCATACAGGCAGATTGATAAGCAGATAAACTTATAACTGTAGTTGGTATATCAAGTTACTCTAATCTGGGCGTGAGATTTTTCCTTTCCTTTTTCCCTGTAACAAGCCTTAGTACCAATACTTTCTCTGAAAGTTGAGTTTACAGATATTACATCTTATATAGAAAATGATAGATTTTTTTAAGCACATAAAACCCAAGCTCAAAACACACTGCATAGCAGTAACAGCATTAGGTCAAGTAATAGACCTAAAGTAAAAGAGTAAAAGGAAAGTCTTTCCATTCAAAAAGGTGCAGAACACTTCTACTGATTCATTGTAATTTCTCATGCAGTATTTTCGTGTAACCTGATTTATGTTCTTAAAGACAAATAAAAAGATAGAGGTGTACCCTCTAAAATACCTCTCTTACCACACTTTCAATCCATTACATTGCTAGGTTTCACTTTCTTGTCTGTTTTTTTTATTACCAGATACTCTAAGGACATTGAAATATACCTGCCTTCCTGCAGGCTACTGACTA